AGGCATTAAAGATCCAATTTTATTGTGAAACATAATCTTTCTGCCCGAAGCGTCACAAAAAACTAAAAGTTACAGCCCTGCGGGCCTACCTAACACCGCGACATGTCCTTTTCTTATATTTATATATCTCAGGAAAGGGGCATTTTGTGATATTTGGTCTCAATTTCGAGGGAGAAAAAGGGCACCCGGAATTCTAAGTTATATAAATAAACAGGTAGCTGTTAAATCTGAGTAAACAGGCTTAAACAATTTAATCTAAAGTAAGAAAGAAAAAAACATGTGGATAGGTGGCGCAAGTCACTGCCCAACTGCCGCTATGCATCCATTCCTCCGTCCATCTATTCTGTTTTGAAGAGCCCAGATTTAAAAGAAGGAGTAAGCGAAACTGATACCACGGAGACGGCTCCTGCGTAGATAGGTGGAAAGTGCGCATGTGTTGTGTAGTCACGTGGAAAGAAGGCGAGCAAACGGAAGAGCGACGACGCCTGCCCCAAATACTTTGCCTGCCCGATCGGCGCTTTCGTCTTTTCATAATTCAAATGCGGTTCGTAATTCACAGTTCGTAATTCAAACGCGACTATCGAAAGGTTGGGAACCCTCTCAAATAGAGGCACACTATTTTTGCGTTCCGTTTCGTTTTGAATCAGAATTTTTGGCTTGCAGTTCCGAATAATTTTGCCAGGTCTGCCGATTTCTCAGATCTACCGATTTCGCACAGCGTCTGCTGATTCCCTGATAAAAAAGAAAATTTACTGACTCTTTTTTTTTGTTATAGATAGAAGAACCTTTTCTAAGGAAATAACAATATGCAGTTTAAAGCACTGGCTCTCGTATTAGCCAGCAAGCGCATGGGGGATCGGTGGCCGAATGGGCTAGCGCGCACCAGCTCGGAGCACGTAGAGCAAAAGCTCGCGCTGCAGAACCCAGGAAATCCTGGGTTCAATCCCCACCCCCGCCCGTTTCGATCTGGGTGAGCATCGTACCGGCATGCGGTCAAGTATCACTACTGCGTGGTGCACATTAAAGACCCCAGGCTAGCGGCTGTACTGCACTGGCTAAATTGCTCATCTACAGGGAAAGACTCGTCGCAACTTTAAAATGGATGACCAACTACGTGCTGTATAAATATCCACACAACGACCCCCCCCCCCCCCCCCCCCCCCCAAGCTCATGTAAAATTATTAAAAACGAAACTATACATATGTATCTACGTATCCCTCGATTCATTCAGCTATCCACCCAAAGCCGTACACAGGCAACGCAGCCGCGTACACGCTTTCTCACGAAACCGATTCGATTTTGGTTTTGCCTGGTTTCGTCCACGTACGATAATGAGCGGTGACCCTTCAGATAGCGGCAACCGCACCCCACCGGCCCCCTCCAAAAGAAAAAGTACATAGGAAAGTATAATACTATGTGAAAAAAGTACTAAAGGTAAGCATTCTGCTTTCTGTAAGGGATGCGATGTGCAAATGGCCGCTGAGAAATAAAAATCAAATAGAAAAAAAAACCCAAATGTGTAACAAGCAGAAAACACAACTAATTTCTATGTGTGTTTAACAGTATAATATTTCTTATGATATATTATCTATTAAAGGACACATGCAAAGGAAAAAAGCTTTTTTTTTAAACAGGCTAATGGAAAAAGAATTTTATAAAACGAATTTACAATGAAAAGAAAAAATATTTAGAGCTATATTTATGGCGCAAAACGAATTTGTAGTTGGCGCCAGCGGGAGTCGCCGCTGGTCACGTGGTAGGCCTGTGCGCCGCCGCCGCATAGTCACTGCGCCGCTGCACGCTGAGCGTTGTGCAACGCTGCTACAATGCGTTTCTCCGCGCCGCCGTCGCCGCACAAGTTTGTCTGCTCCGGGGCGCCGCCGCCGTCACCTGACCGGCGCAAAGGTCTATCACATCTGCTTGCGCTTTTTCAGGAGTTTTCTTTGGGCTCTAAAAGTTACTTATTAATCTTAGTTTTTTTGTTATACTTCAAACAAAGATGAATAAGTTACTTTTAGAGGCCATAGGAAGCTCTTGAAAGGGCGCAAGCACCCCGTGATAAATAAAGACCAGTCACGTGATAAATAAGGGCCACTTTTCTGCGGCGACCGCGGGCGCCAATTACGAATTCATATGGCGCCGTAAATATAGCTCTTAAAATTTTTTTCTTTGTTGTAAAATCGTTTTATGACATTCTTTTTCCATCTAACCTGTTTAAAAAAAATGCTTTTTTCCTTTGCATGTGTCCTTTAAAGGGGTACTCCACCGTTTTTTTCATTGTCTTCGATTCGCTTGAAATTTTGCTAAACTAACCAACAAACATTGCTAAAATAGTATCCCAAATATTAGGTCAAAATATTGTTTCTTCGCGAAGATATGCAATTTACAGTTTTGGTCTTCACCATGTTTTTCAAACTGAAAGTCTCTACTGGCAACAACAACAAAGTGACGTCAGTGGAAGGCAGGGGTTGACTTTTTGGACAACAGAAGTTGTTCCCAACGGATTTGAAGCAGTTTCTTGGTGTCAAATGAGTGCTTTGGAAGCTCGCTCCCGTATCCTCGCTCCAGCACGGAACAAATGATTGGCATATTCTATTTTTAGACTACTTGCTCGACTGGCAAGCCTGCCTGCCACTGACGTCACGGCACTGAAAAGTGCGCGAATATTTGAATGTTGGTTTTTGCACCATTTTCATTTGCCGATTTCACTATTATGAATTTCGCGATGCTAAATAGCATACCAGAAAGGTAGTTAGTTGAGGTAGCTCAAGAAATCGGTGGAGTACCGGTCTGGAACGCAAAAGAATATTTGTTTTTTGGTATCTACTGATTGTTTGGGTGACCTACTGACATGTAAGGGGTCCATCTACTGACTTCAATTTTTTCCGATAAACACTGAAAAAAACTAATGTTGCCGATGGAACTTCGCAGAACTAAATGGTATGGGACTCATTTTCCGGAGGTGCAATTGGGGACAGCGGGGTTTGGGTTGCCGGCTGGACGTCGCGAAGCGACGTGCACTGGTTAAGCTTTGTAATTAGCAGCTGCATACTGTTGCCGCGAAGCGGCGTGAACGCAGGCGGGGGTGTGTGTTAACAAACTCCCCAGTGATACACGTGCCGTTCGAAAAGGGTGACCCAAATGGCATGAGCTCTCCACATAGTGTGTATAGCCATTTCCAGTCGAGTCGTACTACGTAGGACGTATAGCTTTACTCTTGGCCGAACATATCAAATATTCGAGTGACCGAATACTAGGAATTGATTCGCGATTCGAATTATTCGGGAACTTCCTATTCAATTCGAATTCGTATATTCAAGTATTCGCACACCCCTACTCGTTCCTACACCGCTACCGTAAAATCCCGTAAAGACGCCCGTCCCTGAGAGATTGCCCATCCCATTTTTCGGACTAAATATCCGTGAGATAAAACTTGCAAAACATCGCCCACCACCCTGATTCCCGTCGAATATCACGCACTGCCCGACAGAAATCTCGTCAAGCCGCTGTACCGGCCTTTGCGACAAGCGAGTTCGTAGCAGGTTCCCACATCTTCGTCTATGACTTGCACGTGCGATATTGGTTCCTGTGACAGGCAAGTTTGTGGCGGGTTCCCACGTGTTTATTGTTCTATGAAATTCTAATCTGCTGCTTCCGCGATCTGTGCTATCCATTCCCGTGAGATGCGAGTTTGTGGTGGGTTCTCGCGCGTCCTGTGCACCGTAAATCCGCTGGGTCCAGAATCTGCTATATTCTTTCCCATGACACACGAGTTTTTAGCGAATTCCCGCATGTTTATCGCATCGTGAAATGCGAATTCGGCGTGCCCAAAATCTACCGGTATCAGTTCCCATGTCATGTGGTTTGTAACAGGCACCCCGATGTTTATCACTAATATTTTATGAAGTTTTGCTGTTGCATCTCTAAAGATAGCCCACTCCATGTTTTCACCATTTACCTCTTTATTTTGGATGGGTGTTCTTACGAAGTTTTAAGGCACATTCAATTTCCACAATCGAGTTGCGACTAGAATATCTCTTTTCTGTGCCAATGCTCTTTCCATTGGCATTTCATCAAGAAACACCTTTCCTGCTCTTGCTCGAACCAGTGCTCGGTGGATCACTATTGATTCAAGACTTCAAGCAGCGATTTCACCGTGCAGATGTCATCTTTATAAGTGCCAGGCTGTCGCCGGTACATTAGTATTCAAATAAAACCATTTACCCTTCCAGACCAGCTGTGCTAGTAGCTCAGTGGCTACAATATCCAACCGCCACCGTACCTACCCTGGTTCGAGTCCTGCTGGGGCCTGAATATTATATAGTATAAACTTTATATATATAACCTGATTGTCTGTAGCGCTCCCAGCGTACTCCTTCATAATGTTCAATGAGAAGCTTGTGATGATGCTCGTTTATGACAATTTTCTCATTGAAAAACACTCATAAAAATATGTGCTTACTGCAATACTTCCAAAATATAACCCACCCATATTTTTTAAACAATTTTTCATATTTTTCAAAAAACACCGAAAGATAGCCCACTTCTAGTAATTGCAGGACCCTGGCCAAAGGTCACCTCAGCAGAAATGGTGTTACTTAGCCATGGCGAGAGAGTTTTTGACTGAGAACGACAGTCCAATTTGGTTCGTCGCTCCTCTCTGCGATCTCAAGTTTCGCAAGTACCAGAATCAAAAACTATAGTACTACTTTGCAACTTTTTCTCATTGCACACCGAAAGTTATTTTACTCCTAATTTTTACCTGATCTGCTTTTGATCTTATGTGGGCTATCTATCGGGGTATTACGATGATCTAAGGGAAGGCACGGCCTAGCATTTTCATCAGGCGGCAGCTGTGGGAAGTCCCATTGGATGTCGCATTAACTGACAGGATGGCTAATGTTATAGCATTTTTACCCTAAGGATGTTTAGCTAGGAAGACGGGACAGGCGACTTTCGGATCTTGATCTTTCTACGGTAGTGGTACTTCACAGACTCACATCTTCTTGAGCTCCACAGAAGGATCCTCGAGGATGTTGAAGAGTCCGTCCAAGATCTCGGGTAGGAAGATGAGCATGTCAATGTCCGGAACAGAGTTCATCACTGACACCTGGACAAAGAAGACATCGCCCGTGAGCACGAGCAGTGTTTGCGCAAAAAAGCCACAGGCATGGGTGCTGAGCACACACAATATGTGTGCAGACTAAAGGGACACTGACACCACCCCAAAATTCATTTTTCTTATTTTTTGCCAGGCAATTTACATGGTTGCCAGGAGACTAGCCAATCAATATTTTGCTGCAGAGTCAAGTACTATATTGTTAATAAAGCCAAAAAACTCGACTGCTCAAAACCAAAATTGAAACACGAGCACGGAATCTCACTACCGAAAATCACAAGCTACACACGACAGCATTTTTTTTTCCTCCGCTACTCGGGCGTGTGATGCAGACGACGACAAACTTGCATGAATTGTTTGTCGTGTGATTGTCTCACACTTATATCTCTTCCGCTCAATGTTCTGCACTTGAAGATCAATTGGCTGGCATCACGAAGCACTCATAAAAAATAGCGGCTCCACGTTCGTTGCAACGTCAGTTCGTCGTGCGCCGCCATCGCGTAGCCCAGCCTGCGGTGTGTCGCCATATTGAGAATGACGTGTACATGTACCTGGAATCCTGCGCCGCCCCAGTCCTTAGTGACATCTACTTGGGGGTAGTGGACTGTGCGATAGAAAGTGCGCTTGGAAGCAAAGAAGTGAACAAGGTCGCCAGCTATGTTGATGACTTCCTGGTAATTCTTGAAGAGGGAGGACATATGGACATACAAGTAGCAGACATTATGGAAACCTTTGCAGAGTACAGAGGTGGCCTTAGGTTTACATTTGAGGTGCCCAAAGAAAATGTACTTCAGTTCCTAGACCTTCCGCTTCACCTGGATGACACCCATGTTTGTTGGTCGTACTGCCCACGATCCAAGGAAGGCTTTGTAGACTATGGCTCGGCCCACTCAGAAGTCATCAAGAGGGGTATAGCTCTATGGTGTCTGGGCTAGACACTAAAAAAGTTCTGCCTTTATACTATGGCAGCCAGCTTCAGTATGCAAGTAGGGAGGCTAAGGAAATCCGGCTATTCGTCAGCCCTATTGGCTGATGTGGCAAATGCTCTGGTGAAGAAGGCAAAAGGCTTTCAGAACAACAAGACTAATGTCGAGAAAACAAGGCCAGTGGTAATACCGTACCTGCACAGGATCTCCCATAATTTAAAAAATGTTGCAAGCCGCTACCTTAATATCCCGAGTCATCGCCTATCCCCGTGTCATCGCCCACCCCACTTTTTGGGCGAATATCGATTTCCAAGAAAACACGGAGTCATCACCCACCCCTTCAAATACCCCAACGCTGACTCTGCGACCCGCGTGTACCCGAATGACGCGGCTGCGGACCTTGCAGTTCGAGGACGTCGTGACAAAGTAAAGCTAAGGAGAGGAAGACACTTCTCTTTGTTTACATATTTCCTCCACTAGCGGCCCCGAAGTCGTAGTGTATCCGTGCGAGAAGAAAACGATGGAGATAACAGAATAAAAGTTTTTTTTGCTTTGAAAAAGATTGCTCGACAAAAAAAAAAAAAGCTAGAGGTATACCTAAGCACCTCTTATGAGTTGTGAATTTAAAAGCGTGCAAGTCGCTCGTCCGCTGCCTTTTTCGTCTGCTGCATACTTTTCGTTGCCGGTCAGCGCACATGCCCGCCTGGGCACGCTGACCTTGGACGCTTCGTGTTAATGGCGTGCTGATGGACACGCAGCGCCAGGGGGTGAGCGGTCGTGGAAACTCACAAACGCAGCGGCCAATGTTCCCCCGTCAGCGCGCAGCAGCCCATGAAACTGAAGGTGAAATCCATCCGCTTTACTTCGCTCCTTTGGGATCGGGGAAACTAGGTGCCGTTTTTGCACTTGAAATTGATAACGTTAGCTCGCTCCATAACACACTTAATGCTTTTGCATTTAAAAAAAAAAAGTTGGAAAGATAAAACAAGCAGTAACCCATTTAGGGATCACACAGTAAGGGAACACCCCATACCCTGGAATGCAACCGCGGAGTGTAAAGTGAAAGTCTGTCTCCGCCGAAGTAAGGTCGCAGCGGACCCGCTTCTTCTCCCGGCACGTCGCGGACGGCGGTTTTGCAATGTTTAATACAAAGCCAGTGGGGGGTAAATAAAGCTTTGTTGGAACACCGGACACAGACGTTTGTAGAGCGTCCCATTTCAAACTCAGTGTTTGTGGCCGCACAGCAACGCCGCTTTAACCCGTATTGACAGCGAACACGCATGTATGCACCAAACAAGAAAGTTGAGCAAGAGCTTGTGATTGACAAGGCACCCGACTTGGCCTGACGCCAAAGTATTTGCCAACGCGATCGCCGGCTTTCCCAGCACTGCTCTTCGTCACTTCTTTGGTCCGCTTGCTTGCTCGCTCATTGCACCTGGTTGGTTTTTCTATATTCTTGTAACCTTTTTCTTTTTTCTTTTGTTTAAGGTGGGGAACAAAGCAGTGTAATGTGCTTCCACAGAACAAACATTCGCGCTGTATGCCGATTGGCGGTGTTCATGGTGCGTAAGCAAGCAACGGACTTTGCAATAGTAAAACATTCTTTCGTGACCAATTTTTGTATAAAACAATAAAACTAATTTGAGTTTTGAGTTTAGTGTATCTCTTCTGCAGCCGCACTAAGTATGCACGAGAAAATAGGCTTTTTTTATTTATTCATATTTTTTAAACCTTTTATGCTCACCCACCGACACATGGCCCACCCCACTTTTTTGTATGAATTTCAGGTGGCAGGAAGGTGGGCGATGACTTGGGAGATTACGGTAGTTTTTTCAGCACCACAAAACAATGAGTCAAATTTGCCCTAGAGTGAATGTGCATGGTGAGGGTCCCACGAAACACAAGTGCACCAAGAAGCATGCAAGCAATGGACCTTTTCCGAGAAGCGTTTTGCACACGCGCGAGCACCCATTGCCAAGCGGTGGAAGTCGGCACGAAAAATCAAGGGAATTCGGAAGGAGGCTGTGGATCAGCAAGTAGAACACGTAATTGCAGCATATATATACTAACTGTGTTACACAAAAAAAGAAAGTGAATGGAAAGAAAAACACAATGTTTGGGTGAACGCCACGGATGCCCTCTTTAAAGTCGCATTGAGGATGCGCCGCAGCTCACAGAGCTAAATAACAGGTAGTGTAGCTCCCATTATCAATTGGTAGAGCAGGTAGGTCACTTCCTCGATTTTTAGTTTGTGCAGCCACCGCCTGGTGCCGTCGGAATGTGTAAAAGGTCCATTCCTTTCATGTGCTTTGGGCGTCGTATATAAGATACCACTTTCGTGTGGCAAGAGCTACATAGGCCAAATGGGCAGATGCCTCAATGATTGACTCCGGGAGCATGATTACTCTTTGAAGGCTACAGTGGGTAGAAATCTTCCAATCCACTGTAGGAGTGCAAGAGCAGGCCATTATTCGGCGAGACCAACATCTTGGGGAAGAACAAAGACAAATTGACCCGCGAGGTACTGGAGGCCTTCCATATCCTTTGTGAGGACAGGAATTGTATTAGTGTAGAATCCAGAACGCCATCAAACAAAGAAAGAGAATTCCTTCAACAGACAATGAACAACCCACACGGGCCTTACCCCACACGGGGCTGGTGGTAGATGCACAAATCTGTGGTGGATCATTTGGGTTTTTTCTTTCCGTTTCTTTTCTTGTTATTAAACATAGTTGTAAATGGCGCTCTTTTCTGTCCTGTTCTTCTTTGAGTGCAAAATACCTCAATATGTTAGACTACCAATTAGCCCAAATGTCAACTTTACTAAAATACTCATACTGAAATATATCCGTACAAAAGTATTGCAATACATATCAGAAATGCATTTGAAAAAAAAAAAAAAAAAAGTATTTGTAAATACAAATGCAGGAATACATTTAACCAGGCAGTAATACTCTCATACATTTTTCTATAAAAGAAACCTTTTTGTGATGTGAACCCTTGTACTACCGGCAAAACAATTGCTATTTTTAAAACAGAAACGATACAACTTTTTGCTACATGGTATCTTTACATATGAAAGCAATCCAAAAGTAAACATACGACTTTGCTGCTAAACTCGGCTATTTTTGATGAGAAGTAACTTTTTAAATAGCATGCTGGACAGCCGCTGCCGATTTGGGCAAAAAGACATGTTAGCGAACGAGATTAGGCGTTGTGCAAGTGTCAACAAACACGGGTTCACATTAAAACAAACAAAGATTGCTTCCACAGTGGAAAAGTTCTAAACCATGACAGTATTGTTTTTTGGTTTTTTTTCGGTTTTCAATACATACGAGCACCAAGCTTGGCAATGGCAATAGGTAGACTATGTTGACCGGGGTTGTGCTTCAAAAGCAAAAAATTAGTCCTCCAGTGAAAACCAAAACTTGTACTAACCGTGAGGTAAATATTGAAGTTGAACTCGGACGTTCTAGAGCCTGAAATTATTTTCGCATAGAATTGTCATTTTCCTTTTAAAAAGCTGTGGGAACTTCTTTACTAGGTTGGAAATATTTTCAATCCAGAATGCAGTGCAGTTCTCTTTTAAGTATATTGCATGCCTCCGAGGCAATATCGCATGAGCCTCTAAATTCATTCTATATCTACCGAAAGAGATCCGAAAAGTCAGCACACTCTTTACTGTGTTTACCCTTAAGCTACTCTTTCTGCTCTACCTTTTTTTTAGGCGAATGGGACACTAGGAACGCATAGAATCGCAGCACATACTATTTCTCAGATGAACAAGTCCAAAAGATGCTGAACCAAGTCATGTGCCTTTCGCATATGGCCATTCAGCGTTAAGTACAACAGACGTCTCATTGTCGTAACAAGCTCAATTAGGGTTAGCTGCTTGGATTGCTTGCACCAAACTTCTTTAGTGTGTTCTTCCACTTATTCCATATGTTCAACTGCATTCAATTCCTCAGTGGTACAAATGCCTCCTGGCACAACAAGTTTTAAAGCTGATCTCGTATAAACCTCTCGCAAAGTTGAAGGTCTATACTTTGTTCCGCCTTACGATGGACAGCAGAGGAAGCTTCGAGCCATCCCAGCCAATCCAACGCTGCAAACACATCGGGTGACTACGCATACCAGGTATCGCAGCACTTTTTCCGAAGGTCACGTGATGCTCACGATAATAGAGTGACCCAGATGGACCGCAGCATCCTTTCTGGTTCATCGTAAAGTGAAACGGGGCATAGTGAGCGTCACCCTGGTCAGTCTTTACTAATAAAATCTATTCAGGCCACACAAAGCAGACCAGTAATGTTGCTGTTTCATGAGTGACCACAGAACTTTTTTCAGGGGCCAGAATTTTATCACCAGGGGCAATTAAATTTTTTCACGGGGCCAGGGAAAGGGGGAAGGGGGGGAAGGAAGGGGGAGACAAACGCCCCTCTTTTTCCATTGCCTACGTGCTGCTTTATCATTCTTTTCTTAGGACTTACCTCCACGCAAACAAATCCACTCCTAAAATTATTTCAGAAACTTCCCTCGTTTTACATTCCATCACCACTTGACCATCGGCACAAAGTGGGCAGTACTCGAAGCAATACCAACAGTTGATATATCCTAAGATCAGCAATTCTCAAATGGGGGTTCGTGGACCCTTTGGTCTCCTGAGCACCTCTTGGGGTCCCAAAAGTCATCAACCGTCAGTCAAGCCAAGCAGTAAAACTTTTGTTTTCACTGATGTTGGCTGTCCCACAAAGCTACAGAGATCAAACCATGTGTGCCAAGTGAGTAGAGTTGATATTATTCCCTGTTTCAGAACCTCAACCCTGGTTTCTATGCATTTAGTTTTTTAATTTACCCTTTTGTGATTGTAATTGTACCACTGCCAATCCGGAAGGGGTCCCCGCAACCCCGCAATATAAGAGGTTGAGATCCACTGCCTTAGATCCCTGTACTGGAACCATCATCCTTCACCCATTGCTTAAATCACCAACAGAGTTCTGTCTTTAAAAAGAAAACGCCGGGGACTTCTCTGCCTCATTGCATTGACTTATTGTTCCTTTCCAATAAATTCTGTGACTGCTGCCTTTCCATGCCCCAAGCTTGGGCCCTTAAGATGAATACGTTATAAAGAAAAAGTCTGGTAAATGTAAACAGAGCCAACAAGGCACTGCTCCGCCTGACAAATTTGTGCATAGAATTATTTTGCGCTTCTATTTGAAGGCAGTTTCTTGTGCTTGTTTCAGACCATTGATTATTAACTACACATGCGGGGGAACAGTGGCCGGCGCACACCAGCTCGAAACACATGGAGTGAAAGATTGCACTGCAGAACTTAGAAATCCTGGGTTCAATCACCACCCTTGCCCGTTTCGATCTGGATAAGCATCCTGCCGGCATCCGGTCATGTATCACTACTGCGTGGTGCACATTTAAGACCCCAGGCTAGCCGTTGTACTGCACCGGCTAAATTTCTCATCCACAGCTAAGACACCAGACGCCCATTGATGACGACTAACTTTCAGCTGCGTAAACATACACACATTGTGATTCTATTACATGCATTTCTGCAGCATGTTGATGCCCTGCACAATTAGCATACTTTCTGACTTCTTTCTGGAAGATTGCTCTGTGCAATCCTTTGAGCCATCGGCTGCATGTGCTCGTCCGCATAGTTAATTTCATTTTTTATTCCTGTAGCTAATCGATCCATCAAAGACTGCCTGCAACCCTGACAGAATCGATTAAAAGGAGATAAAGGAATAAAACCTTGCTTTTCTTATTGTATTTCACCTTCACCTTAAGACAGACCGCAGTAGATGCCCTGAGCTATCGTAGCCAGTTCAACGCTTAGACGTATCACATGATTACACGCGACACTCACACCAGGTTGGCTCCGATGGCTCGTTGCATCTGCTGCGGTTCATCCTAAGGTGAAACGGAGCATAGACTCAAACAAACGAGAAAGGCGCATGACATACCCACGAAACAATGAACGCCCTGGCAAAGTGGTTCTTGGTGTACACACGTTCCCGCAGTAGTGGCATGAACGCGACCAGGTCAAATGAGGCGCTCTCCGTCACTATGTCCTGCACCACAAGCAGAGGGCACAAACGTCACAGGACAGACAAATGGTAAAGGGCAGCAGATGGCAAGGGCACTCCTAAAGGCAGTACAAAACGCGAACGCATGCGACGGACGGCAAGAAAGCTACCTTGCAACGCAGTCCACTCCTAATTGCAGACAAGTTGCGCTATGGCGTTCGATGCGGCAAATATGAAGTGCACTTTATGGCAATTTCACAGTGGATGTCGAAGTATGAAATTTCGATAGAACCTAGATAACTTCATGGCTAGAGGTACAGAATCACTGGTTAAATTTTCACGGTCCCGTGACTCCTCGTAAATTTGTGATTCGATAATGCAAGCACCTGGCACACACCAAGGTGCCTCGTAAATTAGCTACTACTTTGGTCTTTCTCGCTCACTAAATATGGTTGCTAGGCAATGCGACTAGGCACTGTTATTCGGCAACAAAAGCGCATATGGTGAGCATGCACTTTTTCGTTTGCTAATTGCTGATCCATGCAAAGCTTATATGTTTCTTTGGTCCATGTGTTGTTTGTGGTGGCCGATGATTCATTAGCTACACACTGTTCAATTCTTGCGCTGTATAGACCACAGGTTAATGGCTTTTGTTGCATTGTAGGAGCCCCACACGGTTGCATCACAAAAAAAGCAATAGCAGTGCGTTGCATCTTCCGCAAATGCTCCTGCTGTTACCATGCTGGCATCAGCATAAGAAATGAAAATTTATTTATTTCTTTTTTATTTATTCAATATACCCTTCAGCACCCCCAAAGGCATTACAAAAAAAAAAACGGGGAAGGGGGGAATAGAGTAAAAAAAAAAAAGAATAAACAAAATCTATATTAACTCTGAAAAATTTGCAAGTGGTAGGAACAATAAAAACCTGATCATTATAATTTAACAACAGTTGACACAATCAGGTGACCAGATGCAAGCACTTATCAATAACTCGGAAAAAAGAAATGCAGTGTCTGATGATATCCTGACAGGCAACTCAGGTAAACAGTTCCATCAATGAGTAATAATTTTTAAGGGGGAGGTTGATGTTTTGGAATCTTTATGTCATGGATATTCAGTCCAAAAAGGTGATTTCTCGGGGGCGGGCGTCCACACGTGACTTAACGATATATGTGATTTAATGCGTGCAGTACAGAGTGTCACAAGAGAAAATTTACACTGTCTTTTTTACCGCAAAAATAAACTACCGTAGGCATCGCTGAATGCCCATTCTCGGCCCAAAGGTAGCGCTAGAGGTCACAACCAGATGGCAAAGTTTCAGCCCGATCTGATAACTTAATCAAAAGTTATAACTAGGGTTCCACATGTTTTCGGATAAATCCGAAAAACTCCGAAAAACAACCGCCGGCAAAATTATTCTCAATTCGGATTTATCCGATAAACTCTGAATTGTGTAGTGCCGATGCCACCCCCCCCCCACCCCCCTCCCCCCCCCCCCCCCCCAATAAAAAAAATGTATATATTTTTTTCTTTTAGTTTGAGCAGCGCGGGTTTAATGGTCCTGGGAAGGTGACACCATAATTATCTTTCAAGCCTCGGACCGTTGTCAAAAGGGGGTCTTGCGACTTGTCTCGTCAAGGTTGGTTCACGGAAACAGGTCATCGTACCATGCGTGTCAGAACAAAAGCCACTCTTTTGGTTCCCAGTTTGGGTCATGGGGTTCGGGATCTAGAGAAAGGAGAGGGTATGTTTCTGGGGGTAACAGTGAAAGCTATGGACCATAGAGATTGTATAAAATAGGGAAGAGGGGCAGTTGAAACTTTTCTATTACATCCTTAACCACTCCACCTCGCGCGGCCGCGATATAGATATATGGGATGACTACGAGCTTCTTTAGGGCTACCTCGGGCAGTTTATTGATTTTAAGGTATCGACGTTTATCAAAGCCACACTTGTGTGCGACTTTTGTCATGGGAGAAATTAGTATTGCCAACGCCAAATTCAACTGAAGAAATCTTAATTGACACAAGCGCGTTTTATTTTTTATCTGGCATACGTTTGCATCCGGTTATTATTTATTATTTTTTAATAGGAAGCACTGCAAAATTAACCTTCGAATTTCGGAGAATTGGGGATTTACGAAAAATAAACTTCGATAAACATCGAATTTTCGCTAAAAAATAAGCTCCGAAAAACACCCTCCAAATTTTGCGAAAAATAAACTCCGAAAACACGGAGCCCTAGTTATAACTGATTTTCTGAAAATTTCAACGGGAAAATGGGGGCCGACAGAATTTTCGAACACATGGGGCTCTATGGCAACAGAAACCGAAAACGAGCAAAAATCGGCTCCATTTTCCCATTGAAATTTTCAGAAAATCACTTATAACTTTTGATTAAGTTATCGGATCAGGCTGAAACTTTGGCCTCTTGTTGTGACCTCTTGCGCATTGTTTGGGTGGAGAATGAGCGTTCGGCGATGCCTACTAGTTTACTTTTGCGGTAAAAAAGACTGTGTAAATTTTCTTTTGTGACACCCTGTATTTTTAATACATACGGCCAAACACAACGCCACAGTGCAAAAAAATTAATAAATAAATAAAAGACGAAACAATGCTTTAGTATAGTGGTTCTCAAATAGGGGTTTGTGGAGGCATTCCACAGGTCTACGAAGCCCTGCTGTATCAGTCAAGTCCTGCAATAAAAGTTGGCTTTTCTCACAGTGAGAAGAAACATTACAATTTTCGGGCGAGTTTTCTCGTGTATATGTCAATAAGAGAAGTTTGCTTCATGCTAGCCTTTAGTTATACCCATTTATCAAATCATTATCATAATTAGCCTATACCTTACCCTTCCCCTCAAAACGAACGGGGTCCTCCATCATATCCACCGACTCACAAAGGATCCCCGAAGCATAAGTGGTTGAGAACCTCTGCTTTACTACTTCTGCAAAGCCACTTAGGAATGTCCTATTTTTGGACATCAGACACCTACACGCTGTTAGTGGCTGAGCTGTGGCACTGACGACACAAAGCAACACGCCAAGAGAAGTGCTTCGAAGGCAACTGTATGAAGAACGAAAATAAACACAACACTTATTGTGTGTTGTTCATATTCGTCCAAAGAGGGTATACAGTGAAACCCGTTTAGAACAAACCCACGTACAGCGAATTATTGTCGATATCGAACTCTCGCAACATTAAAATAGAAATGCAGGTAAAACGTATGTTTTATAACGAACGACATATTGGCTATATCGAACTTTTTCCCCCCGCGAAGGTTTTCAAGAACGCGCAATCATCTCCTAGCCTGTCCCTTCCCCCAATAAAGTAGGAAAGAAAGAAAATTCCACAAGCTCAAGTTGCAAAGAAAATTGAGCGAAAAGAAGCGATTCAGAAGATGACAAAGCTAAAAAATTATACTGTGCACGAAAGTACAGAAAAAACAAGTCCGTCCGAAAGCATTTGCCCACGAAGAGAAGCGATTACGATGTAGAGATAAGCTAACAGAACAAACTCTGCACCCCCTCCCCCCCCCCCCCCAAAAAAAAAAAAAAATCTTTTCAGCGCGTTGTTGCAAGACGAAAGTGAAGAGATGAGAAAGAAAGAGAAGTGGTCGCCTTACAACGAACACATCTTGGAAGTTCTTTAAAAATATTTTTGCTATATCGAACTACTTGCTATATCGAACCGATCGTAGCATTTCCTGCTGTTCGTTATAAACAGGTTTGACTGTATTTCTGAACAACAATAAAAGCATTGCTCGCGTTCGAAACGGACAAATTAAAACGACCAATTTGCGTAGTTCTCCCTCGTGCTGCTGGCACCTGACGACTCATCAACATGAGACCATGAAACGGAACACTAAGTCTATTTACCTCGCCTGGAATAAATCATGATCACTCTCGTTAGATGAAAATAGGCACCTGCCGCGTTTTCACTAAACGAGGGTTACCTGTTTCGACGATGACACAATCACATTGGTACATAACTTTGGTTCAGAATTATCTAAATGAACACAACACAGTAAACCACTGTGGCCAGCAAGGAAGAGTACCCCAATAAATATATAGTTAAAAAGAAAAAAAGTCTTTTTTTACTAGTTTTGGCACAACATTTGCACTTGGGAGCAGGATGGCACAGCGAAAGTGGATCGGCACACAATGGCACAATTGGCGCAGCGCTTCCACCCCTGGGTCCAAGGCCACTGACCTTGGAGAAGGCGTCACTTCGTCTGGGAACGAAGATGCGTTCATTGCTGTGCGTTTAGTTTTAATGGGCTTCCGGGACTACGGGTTCGGTTTTATGTCGCCCTGTCTTGGGTTTGCTAAAACCGTTCCAGTCTGTTAGATTACAGGGGCCGATGACTGTAGGTTTTGCCCACCTCGTAGTCGCAGAAGGTGCCCTGAAAACCTTGCCACTTCCACAGCGAAACGTGGGTTCTGTGCTTTTTTTCTTGAGTTCCGATAACGGAAACTGAACTAAGGAACAAGATGAAGCTGCGCGTTTTCTTGGCGATTCTGAGACTGAAGTTAGTGCTGCGGCTACAGAAAGCCATAAACATTTGACGTGGCCCTCAAGCTCGTATAGAATAATGAACCTCGATTACACTCACTGCGACAGCATTTATTCACTTTGACAAAGGGCTATACAGAGCTTTGTTTCTTACACCAATAATCAGTGATTCTAGCCTCGTCAGGGGGTCGTCCAACTGAAATACACCGTTGTTTAAAAAAGTAAGCAGACACTGAAAAAACAACCACATCTCCATGTGGTGAATGATGTTCATTAGGCGAAGCTCTGGTGGTGCTTGTCTGCGCAGACTGTGAGCCGCAGCATGCCGAGCCTTTCGTTCGTTTTCATCCATGTCACGCTGCGGTCAAATGCTCAAATCCATATGGGTGATTTCAGATAAGATCGACCAAAGGGTGGCTGGTCGACATTTTTAAATCAACTGATGTTTTTATATGACATTGTCTAGTGTCTGGTATAAACGAATCCACACTTAGTTTTGACCAGAAAAAAAATTTGGAGACAAGAAAA